CATTCTTTTGGAAGACGTCCATGAGATACTTTTCTTCAATTTTTCTTAAGGTGGGAGTGCTGCAGTGAGTCCTTGCTCTCTTGAATAGTGTTTGTATGCAATTCCTTTTGTGTGTTATTGGGTTGTTGCTGTTGTAATTCAGTATTTGGTCTGTGTGAGTTGATTTCCTATAAACTTGAGTTTCTAATTCTCCTGTAGTTGTTCGCCTGACTAAGACGTCCAAAAATGGTATTTTGTTCTCGGATTCCTCTTCTCTTGTGAATTTGATGTCGTTGAAGACGTTGTTTATTAAGTTGTGAGTTTTATCTAATTCGTTTCTTTTGATGATTACAAATGTGTCGTCGACGTAGCGTATCCAAATCTTGGGTTTGATCTTTGGTAGAATTATATTTTCGAGTCTTTGCATCACTGCTTCTGCAATCAAACCTGATATTGGCGATCCCATGGGTGTTCCTTTGACTTGTTCATATATTTGGCCGTTGAATTGGAGGTACAACCAGACAATACGCCCATAGACTGCGTAGTCAACCTATCAAAACAACCACTATCAAAAATGGAACAACAACTACTACAAAAAGGATTAAACTACAACACCGGAGATGCTTCAAAAACTGATTTCTTCGCTGCCTTTGAATCATTACTCAAATCATCAAACTTGAACGAGGAAACACAGGAAGAGATACGCCAAACAATTGTACCAATGGTCAAACAGAAAAGACAACAGACACAACTCAACGCTCAAGAACTAAAGGCCCTCAAAAAGCTGAAAAATAGGAAGGACATCGTCATTTTACCAGCCGACAAAGGAAGAACAACAGTAGTCATGGACAGAGAAGAATATACCAAGAAAGCTGAAGAACTACTCAAAGATGAAGATGTATATCAACAACTCCCAACAAATCCCATACAAACATTGGATAACCACATCCAAAGGACCTTAAACAAGCTCAGCAAAACTGGACAGATCACAAAACAAGACCAATGGCGAATGAAATCCAATGGACCAGTCCTACCCCGATTCTACGGCAGACCAAAAATACACAAGGCAAATATCCCATTACGACCAATTGTATCACTCCCGGGAACTCGAATATATAATTTATCCAAAGAATTATACAGAAAACTAAAACACCTAACGGAATCTTGCGATCACTCCACCAACTCTGCTATCCAATTCCTAGAGAAAATCAGAGGCATCCAAATAGATGAACAAGAAATAATGGTATCATTCGACGTGACAGCATTATATACATCCATCCACACACACACAACCAATCACGTCCAAGGTCACCAGGAGAGATGATTAATAAACTCGTGGAGAAATCTAAAAGCTCACTTCAAATTGAAGTATGCGCTGAAGGTGTCACCCAGTAAGGTGATGAAAGCTTCGCAAACTAACCATCCAGCTCGGAGAACAAAACCACATCAAAATCATCCACCTGAGCTACAAATCTTCTCTATCATATAGTTTTATATATAAAAAATTGATTTTCAATAATAATAATAATAATAGTAATTAGTAAGTGTTAAATGTTTTGTACGTCAGTAATAACGATGATTTTAATGATAGTAAAAATAATGATAACAAGGTTAATTTCAACAAAATGTTAGGAGTTTATGCAGGTGGTGATAAGAATAACCAAGGGAGTAATATGTGTATATGTAGACAATTCAGTAAATAAATTAGGTCAAAACGTGTTTACTTATGAAAAAGAACACTATGTTAGATTACACTTTCTTGATATCCAGTTGAACACAAGAGAGGATGGGTTGCTCAGTCGGTAGAGACTATGCCACTTCTGTGTGTATTTACAAATTTGGTTGCTCCTGCAGAGAAAGCTATAATATAGAGAGAACAAGTAGACAGCTCATGGTTCGGAAAAGGCCAAATAAAGTGTATGAGAAGTTCTATTTTGACTCATTTGATTGATAGCAGTCAACAAGTGGACAGAATAAGTGCCTTCAGGATTATCTATCGCATTCCACTTAACCTTTAGAACGGAATTCGAACCCACTTTTTTCACACAGCCGAAGCTATGGGAATTCGAGAGAACAATCCTAGTCTTTGTGTACAAAAGAAGTTTGTTTTACCTTTGTCTCTCCCTTGGTTGTCTAGGTAAATTCTAATTAAAACCCTCCTACCCTTTATTATTTTTCATTTTCTTCGTACTTTCATGATATTGATTTAAACTCTGATTACCTGTCCACTTCACCTTTAGTATTACGTAACTTCCGAGATTTGAGCTAATTTATTTATTGAATTTTCCGCATAAACTTTATTATCATTATTTTGTTATGATTACAATCACCGTTCTTACTGACAATCAAGCATTTAACACTTATTATTACTATTATTATTACTGACCTACTGACATTGGTTAAATGTTTTATATATAAAGCTACGTAAATAAGAGTAAAGCTTGAAAAAGATAAATTACATAGCATTATATACAAATTTCTTATCTTTGAATACATCCTTGTTACAATAGATTGCTAATATGCCCAACAACACATTTGAAAAATTACTACTCATAAAATGTGTTGGATATGGAAACAGGATCAACTTTCTTATTGTCTTTTAAATTTTTATCACTTTGTAGAAGTAACAGCGGCAATAATAAATAAGTGTGTTAATGTATGTAGTTCAATACTGTTTCTAAGAAGATTCTTGCATCTGAGATCTTATTACAGTATCAACGTCATTAAATACCTCCACTTCTACTTCTTATGTATTCAAATAAATATTCACAAACAGCACGAAAGGTTTACCAAATCAGATAGTGCATACCATTTAAAAACTGAATAACCTGTTAATTTGATGGCATATTTATTTCTTATAACTATTCATTAAAACCACCGTTAGTTATGATGTGAATTTATTAAAAGTTAACTTTCCGGTGTTAGTTTGTAGGGATTTTATTTGTCTCAAGCTTGACTACGGATTCATATCAGCTAGAAGAACATTGAAAACCAGGGAGTAGTGAACAGCTATCTCGTTCTACTTTGAGGCTCATCGGTAGTACGCCGATAACACTGACTAGAGGTCACATTGAAATTGCGAAGTGGAAGAATTTAGAATTCGTTAGCTGACCACTGAGTCGGATCCCAGTAAATGAATGGTCTCCGAGCTTGCTTTGTAACTGGAAGGTGCCGGATCCTAACCCTAATGGGTGCGTACTGCCGATGAGTCTCAAACTTGGAAGAAGAGGCTGTTGAATACTCTCTTGTTTCTCAGTGGTTCTCTAACTGATATTGATCCATGGCCAAATTAGAAAAAGAGGTCACTGTATTATAGTGTAACCATGTTTGTCTGAGAGAAGAAAAAGTGTTGACATGAAGAATAACATTTTATGCTTTCAGATCTTGTGTGTTATTTGTAGTCGTTAAAAAGTAACAGTATACAATGATTGCATGAACATACATCAATCCAAATCACATTAGCATTTGACGGCTGGTTTGAGCCATATTAAGAAGTGTAAACTATCTGGTATGGGCTCATGGAATGCTAAAGTCCAATGGCTCCAGACATGCTGTAATATGGCTGAGAACCGTTTTCAGTGGACCAGACACATTCACTCTTTGTAGTCTGCAAGATCTATTAAATGCTTATGTTTTATCACTTCTCTATCCATTTCAGTCGATTGCAGCTGGTTCGAATCTGTTTCTTATCTCTTCCCTACCTGTTTGTACCATGTGGAGTGTGGTGACATGAACTGCTGCGTTTTCTCTGCAGAGTTCTATGTTGAAACAAGCTGCGTCATTCAGAGAGGAAAATACGCTAAGAAACTGAACAAATATATCATTCAGTGGTATTATTATTATTGTATCCTTTAGTTCCTAGAGGAACATAGGGTTTCAGCTGCGCACCTCCATTGCCTTCGGTTTTCTGACAACTTTTTCAACCTGCTCCAGGTCTGTCCACATGCTTTCATCTCCTCCTCGCATGACCTCCTCCAAGTCACCCTTGGACGACCAACTCGCCGCCTCCCTTTCGGGTTCCACTTGAGCATGGCTTGTCTAGTGATGTCACTTGATGGTCTCCTCAGCGTATGGCCAATCCATCTCCATTTCTTTCTGCCTATTTGTTTCACAATCGTTCCTGATTGGTTCGCTCCCAGAGATCCCTGTTGCTGATCTTTTCTGGCCATCTGATCTTGAGTATTGAGCGGAGACAGTTGTTAATGAAGGTTTGAAGTTTGTTTGAGATGCTCTTTATGACTCGCCAAGTCTCTGATCCGTATAGTAGCACTGACTTCACATTGAGTTGAAAATCCGGATCTTATTTTTGATGCTGAGTGCTGTTGACCTCCACACAGATTTGAGAGTAATGAAAGCTTGTCTTGCTTTTCCGATTCTGGCTTTGATGTCCTCGTCAGTTCCGCCTGTAGTTGAGACGATGCTTCCCAAATAGGTGAAGGAGGTTGTTTCTTTCAGGTTCTTCCCATTTATGCTTATTGTGGTCTGTTGGTGTTGTTGATGTTGGCTAGGAATCTTCATCATCTCTGTTTTATCTATGTTCAGTGGTATGAAGACATTTAATAGGATAGAATTAGCTACACTTATTGAAATTTAAAGTTTCTACAAAAATGATATAGCAGCAACACTAAATGATGTTTTAAACAACTAAACAAAGGTTGAAACAAACTCCTGATTCGAATTTTCATACCGCTCTTGCCTTTCATCTTAACCATATTTTTCAGTGAATCACATATTTAGAGGGATGTGAGATGAAGTACAGACGAACATTTACGTCAATGCATTCTTTCGCATAGTTGCTTTTGAGTTATTTACCCTGAAGATTATGTAGTTCATTTCATAATTCCTTTTTTTTAGATAATGATTGATGTATCATTAGTGTGTTGTGTCAAACCTTGCTATTTGGTTGATCAGTCAGACGTTCATTGATGAGTATCCTGTATTCGTCTCTAGACTCAACACACACCTTTCCTATGATCTTCGAAATGTTTTCATTCATGTTTGTCATTTTTTTTTTGAATTAGACTACTGGAATTTCATGGGATGGTAATATAGCTGATGAAGGCGAAGTAATTCTTCACCAGCATGCTATTCAGAATGGACTGACAGAAATTCAAGTTTCAGTGTGGTAAGTGAATATTCATTCAATGGATAAATAATTAACACATTTGAGAATGCTTATAATCTAGAAAACAAACAAACACTGTAGACATTTTTATCTAGTAATCGATTTATTCGGGATTGCTTAAATAACACTACTAAATGTAAAGAATGCTTAATTAAACTTGTTTCACAGAATAGATATAACCTTCCCCAGCATCTTAGTTTGTGGACTCTGAAGTTAACTAACTGTTTATACACCAGTACTGTAACATGACATTTATCTGTTGACTGTTATAGAGGTTGCAGTTCACAATTTTAATAAAATAGAGAACGTATTTGAGAAAATGTCTTGAAATATCTTGATGGAGACATCGTTGTAAATACACAAATATTGCATAGAAGCCGTTTTCGTTGGTGTTTCAGCTTAGATGACTGACAATAGCAAGGAATGATTTCTTTCAGAACATTCACATTTCTGTAAAAAAAAAAACAGATGAGGTATAATGTGCAACCAAGTGAATTTCACTTTCACACCTGAGTGAATTTCCAGGACGCATGTTCTTCGTGTATACGTGTCCTTTAGTAGATTACATATTGAATTTTGAATGTGAAACCGAATTTTGAGGATTAACTCAAGAAAGAGGCTACAGTCAGTTTTTAGGTCATGATGAGTTCCTGCGTTGGCTACTTATATGTTTTCGTGAATTCGTTTTCCATTGAATTTTAAAGGTTTTTCTGGATGTTTTGCTCATTTTGCAGTGTGTAGGTCAGTTTTTTGTCACAGGTGCTACTATTTAGCTTATTTTTAGCCTGAAGTTCACAGTTATTATGTTGGTAGTCAAGGATTATGGTAACCCTGCAATCATTGAGCTAATTAACGTATACTATACCAATATAGTAACATAGACTATGCTAATAATAGTAACATTAAACTCCCTTGCTGTTTTGCCATTGTTTGACAGTGAAACTGTGACCTGGTTTTTCAGCATGAGTGGCACTAAATCGAACCTATTGGGTTTGCTTATCAACGTTGTTCCAGCCCTCACAGAACATATTAGGCATGGACTAACGTTACTTCAAAGCGGAAAGTTTTGATTCAGCACACAGCTTTCTTTTTAAGCACGACCTGTGTCATTTCAGAAAATAGTGGGTAAATAAGATCTTCAGTTACCATAAAAAGGCATTATCGAGGAATAGGTTAGAATAAGTTTCGAACTGTTGTAAGCTTGGTAGTGCTGCGGTCTAAGTAATAAATCGTACTAATCACCGTTATTCATGATATGCTATGAACCGGAAATCCACCGCTGAAAAACGTATGAATAAGACACAGATCGGTGTAATTTATAACGAACTCCAAATCGCTCTCATCACAAAACAGTCAACCAAAGTATGCTTTAAACTGTCGCTCTCAGCCGTTTGAAGGGAAATTTACTTGATTTATGCTGACCTAGTATGCACAAATCGCAAAGGTCATTGAATTGACAACTTAAAAAGGTAGATTAGTTAATACATACATTTAGCTATATGTACTAATTAAGGACGCATTAAATTTTTAGAAATTGTAGTTAAATTTTATTCGCCTAGTAATCAAAATTGCATACATCGTATTTTGGACTTAAAATAAATACATCAAAATTATTGTTGATTTATATTCGCTTACTAGACATTCTCATACATCTCAATATACTTTAAACATCAACAGTGCATCTAAATAGCGTGTGACTGTCACACTACACTCACACTAAAAAAAATTAACACGCCATTATATTATAGTAAGGTAAGCCCTAAATCATACTGACTGTAAATTTCCGTGTCAAAATAAAAAGATTACCGCTTTAACTTATATTTTAGACCAATAGGAAGCCAGTTAGCCAACAACCAATCAAAATCTGCCTATATATATTTTCTAACTACATAACCTAATGCACAGCATTTTTCTAGTAAATTATTTATACCTTTGGACGAGGCAGGTTGTTCTTTGGTATTGTTCAATATTTTAATTTTTCACAAACGTCTCATGGCCCAAAGAAGGTGGCCGTTACAAAGCCTGCTTCAAGAACAACATGCTCCATCGCATTTACAATTGTGAAGAGTGTTTGTCGCCCCTGGATGTTATTTGATCTTGGCTGAAGATAGTACATCCGCTGTATTTTGACTTTTTAACTATACACATGTAATCTTTGTTAGAAGTCTTTTCTCGCATTAATGATTCAGCCGAATGCGTTTTGGTCAGATGACTATTTCATAACAGTTCTTAGGCTGGGTCCCTTTGACAGTCATTGCTGATCACCATTCATTTGCAGTACCATGATTTAAGGGATTTTCCTGATAATTTTTAGACTAAAGTTTATGGTCTGTGATAATTCACTGTGAAAAATATGTTTGTATCTGCGGCATACAGGGGTGTGTGTATGTTTTTTGCACGAGGGAATAGTCGTAAATCATTTGTTAGCCTCTCCATAAGAAAACAGAGACAATCGGGAATTTAGATCAAATATGACTGATTAGTGATACATATCCATTTTAATTTATTAATCAAGACTTACTGTGCGTAGGCCAACATCACACCTACACGCGAGTTCCAGCTTTTTGAATTCGCCCATATAATTAGGGATTCTGCAGTCAGTCTTTCATTATACTAACCAAAACTTAAATTTTCATTTTTATTTATAACTTGTAATTTAAAAAAGCATTTACCTTTCATCAGTCAGTTTAATTTTGGCTGTTTGAATAGTCATTTGTGTCATTTTGATATCAGAATTTGTCGACTAGTAGCCAGTCAAGATGCTGAGGTGTTTTAGTTCACGAATATGTTTTCATTCAAAGTGCAGTCTTAGGTTAGTTCAAAGTAGGCAAAAAGCAATTACTATTACAGTTTTATTGTAAAGGTTTTGTTCAACCACTGAGAAATCCAGGTGAATTGGAAAAGCTTGAAAAATCATCAACCCCAGGTCTACATGCTATAGAATTTTGTCACAAAACTGATTTCGACAATACTGAAATAATCCAGAAAAATTTCAGAAATCACAAAGAAGCACTTATTATCAAATGGAATCTAAGTTGTCTAAATATAAATGATGGACTTGAACAGAATTTGACTTGGTTACAACACCCGCCCATAAAATGACAAAAAACAAACACGAATACGATTATCAGTTTCATCACGTAAACGTACTCTGCTTTTATAATTTTATCACTATTATTACGCTCTTTGGTTCCGTTTGGAATTTAGGGCTCCAGCAACACATCTCCACCTTTTTCTATTTTCTGCTCTTCACTTCAGCTGGGTCCACAATTGCCCATAATCTATCTTCTCTTCTTCGCACTATCTCCTCCATGTCACCATTGGATGACCCAGTCGTCGCTTCTCTCATTTGGATCCCACTCGAGCGAGATGGCCTGCATTGTGCACGGTGTCATTCGACGGTGTCATCAATGTTTGCCCGCCGATCCATCTCCATTTTCTCCTCCATATTTTTTGAGCAATCGGATCTCTCCTATTGGTTTTTCGCAGCCAGAGTTTCTTGTTGCTAATTCATTCTGGCCGGCCATTTGATCCTCAGTATTGAGACAGCGATGGCAGCAGTTAGCGAAAGTCTGTAGGTTGTTGGATATCCTTTAAGTGACTGACCCCTATAGAAGAACGAACGGATTTAACGTTTGTGCTGAAAACACGAATCTTCTTCTTTTATGCCCACTGACGGCAGAAGATTTCTAAACTGGTTTCATTTTAATGAAGACTTATCTCTCTCTACATTCCGATTCTGGCCTGTTTTGACATCTTCACTGTAGTTGAAATAATGCTTCCTAGCCAGATAAGTGAAAGAAGTAACCTCTTTCAGTATTCTCTCCTTGATGATGATTGATGCTGTTTAATGCTGCTGTTGGTTGGTTGGTTGGTTGGTTGTCTTCACCACCTTCATCTTCTCTATGTTCACCTAGAAGGAGTCGTGTTATCGCTGTCAGTCAGCCTCTTCAGCCAGTTTAATGTCTCTCGCCTTAAAATCTTCGAGTTTGTTTCAAATTAGACATTAACCATCCACAAAGTCAATATCTTCTAGAGTCATCTTATTGGTCCAATCTGTTCCAGTCTCCTCGCTTCCGACATTCTAACGCATAATTCAGTCCAAAACAATTGGGAATACCGTCGATGATAATAATAATAATAGGCAACCATCTTGTTTTACTACTGTATTCGCTTAGAACGCCTCACTGAGCTTTCCATTGTTGATCATCTGACACTTGGCATTACTATAGAGCGAGCTGTTGATTGAGGTTGATATAGACTTGGGCACTGCATCCCATAGAGTTGAATTCTTTTCGAAATTACTTCCCAGTCAACGCTGTCGAAGGCCTTTTCGAAGTCGACGAAGTTGATGTAGAGTGAGGTTTCACTGCCATTCTATGCTTTATTCGATGACGGTGCGTAGAGTTGCGATTTGTTCAGAATATGATTTGCCGATCACTTATAATTTTTTACGCTTACCAAATTAAACAGTCTATACTAGGTTGTGTAAACTTTTTTTGACACTAGGATAGATGTAATATTGGATGGAGAATTTTATCATGAGCTGATATCAGTTGTACTATTAACTCTAATATTTGGTTAAGTGACCTTCATTGTTATTTTACCCTTCTATATGTCCTTTTAACTTGACCTTAGTCTATTTTCTCACCTCTTAACTTTTTGTTATCTTCACCAGTTGGACAACTGGGCAACGCAGAAATCAGCCCGTGCTGATAAACGATGATTAAGTTGTTATACATAACCTGAGGTTTTGTAAATTCTAGTTTAATGATACTTTGATAAGGCTATTATCAGCAATAAATAGCATAAGATAAGTAAAAACAATATCGTCTTGTTTATCTTTCATTGGGAAATACGAAAGCATTTCTGCCATTTCCATTTTTTCAAACTGTTTAAAGTGAACTTGGTTTAGACATCAATTACAGTTTTATTGAATCAATTTATACTCTTCCAATACTTGCAACGTAAGTGTTTAAGACTAGTGTGAAATGCATCCGTCTAGATTAATGAAGTTAAAAACAGATGTTAAAACACTTTGACGCCAATAGAAGGCGAATAACTCGACGCCGTAATGAGTAATACTTAAAGTGATTTTATCAATGTTTAATGCTGTTAGTTGAAACATAGAAAACAACAACTCAGGGGAGTTTAGGTGTGGGTTTTGCAGTGAAGATTCAGAATTATCAAGTGAGGTGAAATGTATGAGCCTTTTATTCATTCCATATAAAATATCTGTTTTGCAACAGACTCACTAACTCGAATGTGTACGTTTATTTTAATCAATAGTCAGTGGATTGCACTAGCGCGTTTAAACTGTTCCACGTCTATCAATCAAGTTATACTTTTACACACGTTCAAACGTTTATTATCTTTATGGTCAGACAAGTCACTTACCAGAGAAGAGGTGAGAAACTGTTTATTAATTTTCCCCTTGTATTATACTGAAATATATTTTATTAAATCAACAAGAAATATGCAACAAATGTAAGCAGTTAAGAAGATTGTCAAAAAAGAGGTTACTAATAAATTAAATCTCGTTAAAACAACAGATGGTAGGAATATGTAGCGAGGGCTTATGGCATCAGAATAGAAACTGTCAACTGAGACGGGAACGTGTAAAAAGTGGACATCGTAATGGTGCTTAACTGCATATCGAATTGTTTATTTAATATATCACACAATAGAAGAGTACTATTTATAAACTATTTTATTAACTGTTTTACCATGAACAATAAATTGTTTTCTAGATGTCATCCATGAGGGCATAGATATGTATCATAGAGACTAACGATGAAAATTAGCACATTTGTTTCGCTTTGGTTTAGGCTCTTCATCTGGTTCTACTTGTATTCCACGGACTGTTTACCTTTCCTCTCATAATTCAGACTAAGCGCATAACACATTCCAGCGAACAAATAACGTGAAGTAACTATCTTGATATATTTATTTGGAAGTGCATTGCATATAAATATAGAAAATAGGTGTATCACGTCCTCAAACAATAAAACAACTTTAAATACTGACAATTTATGCAGTAAATTACCAGTTAAAAGACATTAACAGTTGAACGTTTAATACCTCACATCTTCCGAAATTTTCTCAATAATTGGTGTTTAATCTTAATTAAATACAAGCCATAACTTCATGTAGGAATTTTATTACATTTGAGGTTTCTGATTTGTAAGTGAGGGTACTAATCTTTATAGAGGGAAAATTTGCAGAGATACGATACAAACTGTCATTGATTTTGTTTTATTATGACGTGCTAACTGGCACATGATTTGACATATTAGAGAGTTAAAGCAACTTTGATCAAAAGTTTTGTAATGAAAAATACTTCAGCTGCTTTAATTAAGCTTAATCCACTGATATGACATCAGAAACATTATAACTTTACTGATACTATTTCACTTTACAGCTAAATTACCTGTCAGACTCATTCAAAACATTTACTGAATATTCTCTGGTTTTAATGTGTCGTTCTCACCTAGTCTTCCATAATATTCAGTCTGAAAAGTTGTTGGATCTCAACCATCTACTTGAGTAAGTCAAATAACTTTTGAACGTATATATATATATATATTCATATATAGTAAGTGTTTCTGAATAAATGTGAAAACTTAACCGTCACTTTTTCCATCAAACAGTGACTGTTTAGCCTGTTTCTGTTTTGGACAGGTTTTTATCTCGTTAATAATATGGATTTCTTGAGATGTAAAGTTTTTCCGAAGTCATTTTCAGCGTTGCTGGTAACGATTTGTGCTAGTTGAAATCTAATATCTAATTTCTTAGCAAACAACAGTGGTCAGAAGTGTCTACTACTCAGCTATTTCATTCTACTGGATAAACGATAGGTGGTTTTCGACCGACAATCTGAATTAAATCGCTCCAATAGTTTTCGTTTTCAGACAAATGTAAAGACAGTAGTCTTAAACATAAGAGGTGGATCAGTCTTCATTAGTTATTTATGTCTTGATTTCTGCTACATTTTGAATTTTTCAAAATACATTTGAAAGGTATACTCTTGATTTTAGATTTTGTTTAAAAGTGGTACATATGAAAAGTTCGTGATTCCGTTCCTTATTTTTTCTCAAAAATTATTGTCAAATTCTACATCATACAGGGGATAATATATTAATGGAATCAATGAATATGTGCATCGGTGGCATAGCAGTTAGGACGCTCGCTGACCATGTACATGGTTCGGGTTCAATCCCTGGCCACAGACACACTCCTTTACCTCCCTAAGCCAGAAATAATTCTGGTGAAGAGAAAAGTTTGAGCATGAGGCTAGCAACCCCATCCTGTAAAATAAATACTGCTACAGAAACTTTAAGCCACTAGCTTGAAGCCCTATGTTCCACTGGGAATGTGAAGGAAACAAAATCAATGAATATAGGGTTAAGTGATCTAATAGCAGCGATTTGGGAAATGGATGGTACATAACACGAGTCTTAACTTTTCACTCGTGTAGAGGTATTACTCTTATTCCTACTCTTGAATTAACTAGTTATGCTGTAGTTCATAAAGGAGCGTCTAGATGACTTCAGAAAGAGAATTTACTATTTTGTGTTGAAGTTTATTCTGCTGACCAATCATCTTTCGAGACTAAATCAATGGACTCCTACAGCTGATGTCAATTCACCTGCTACTTAGTAGCGAAAATCCCTTATGTTCCTTAATCCCAAAAATATTCACTTATGGACAACATTTTATCGTGGTAAAATCACACAAAGTTATACAGTAATATTTACTGATGATGTTTCGAGCACAAATTATTGCTCATAATCATAACAAAGTACTCGTAGTAGCCGGGAAATTATCACAGGTAAGGAAGGAGTTTCAAGAAATTCGACAACTCCGCCGATGTAGCACAAATATTCCGCTATTCTGTGAAGGTCACGTGAAGTCATGTGTGTGTACCTTGATATTGATTAGGAGCAATAATTTGTGCTCGAACATCATCAGCAATTATTACTGTATAGCAATGTATGATTTTATCAAAATAAAATTTTATCCATACCGGAATTATACTCTACCACACTGCCCAAATTTTATTCTCATACCAGTGGTGTTCATTTTCAACCGAGGGGCGTTTTCACCAGAAAACTTTTCAATAATGAACAGGTGGTAATTTCCAAAGCTAGAGGATATTATTTTATTTTTTTATTGGTCATTAAAATACAGTTGTCTTTATTTTTTGTATTTTAAAGGTGTTTATGTATGTTGCATAACTCACGCCTGTTTCAGTTCAGTTCGCCATTTTCAAATTCCCTGCAGAAGCAATTCATGACATCATTTAAGGTAGAGATAACAAGTTGTTGAGAGGACAGATATTTGTCCAGTGTTTCGATGTTGTCAATATCCCCTGAATGTTGTCCTGTTACGTGTGAAAACGTAAAAAAAAATTTACTTTGCACTTCTGTAGATATATGTTAGTTATTTAAACGCTTTTTTGCCCTATCTAGAATCTAAAATACCTAGAGAAAGAACAATAAAATCTAATCTAGCCCTACCTTGAATTTTATAGGAAAATTGCTTTGGTGTCTGTGTTTTACACATATAAAAAGAAGCATTTGTAAAACTTGATAAGTTTCCCTCTATCTTTATGAGTTAACAATAAGTGTCTGAAGAACGTTAACAAAAGAAACAGCTATAAAGCATAATTGTTAAGCATATATTAACTGACTTTCATAACGGATTGGCATACAAGCAGTGAATGCAGTTACGAAAAAAAATTAATTACTATACCAGTTAAAAAAGTATTTTGTAAAGCAAAATGAAAATCTATTTTGTACTCATTTGATACTTATAATAGTCGATAGGAATTTATGATGAAACCCACTTGAAACTCAATCAAATTCTTACTAAAGTTTAGTTTCAAGGTTAGAGCTCATGATCATTAGAATCAACCAAGTGAAATGTGACAGTAGTCACTGTCTTACCATGTGTAACATGAATCGCTATTTATGGGAAATAAGCACTTGTCAGAAATCTGACGGTTTTCGATACCATTCTACTGATTTCTATAAGCAGAGGAAAAGATGTGACTCAGTCCTGTCAAAATTATCTTACGTTAGAGTGTGTAGAGCTTCTAGCGTTTCAGTGTTTTACTCAACAGCGTTTGGTCTGAGATAAGGTGTTGGTAAAAAATAAGGGAATTCTTGACAGTCCACTTAAATTATGAAAATTGAGACCACTACTTGCTTAGAAGCACATGTTTCAATATAGGAATAAATTGAAGCATGGGATACAATTGCCATTTCCAAGGCAAAAGTTAATAATGAAAGACAAAATAATCGAATGATATCACAAGGCAAACTGTAAAATAGCCTGAAACGGAATCCTCATTTATTCATATACCTATGTGCCACACAAAATGTATAATGAATGTATTTGTCGCAAGCTGTGTTGTCTCTTCTTACAAACCTGAGTTAATTAACAATAACTGACCTAAATTTTAATTACCTCTAGAATTCGTTCTTACACGTTATGAAAATCACAAGATTGCAGCTATGGGAAGAAATGATGTAAGTTTATTGACAGTAAAATTCTCCCATAAGTAGATAATATAACTTCATTTCTATAATTGTTATTAATAAATAAAATAATCTCAATAATCTTCAAAGTGTTGCTAGAACTTAGAAATTAACAAAAGTGAATCAGAGATATTGTTCTGTAGTTCATGTGCTCCTTATATGCAAATTTCTCTATTTACTATAAATAGAAATTAGAGATATGCCTGATGGAGACTTCTTACCGTGTTGTTAATAATTTTAATGTTCTCCTAATGACATTAATGGCTTTTTAGTTCCATCCTTATCTGCTGAAATAAAAAATACATACATAAAACAATCGTGTATGTTTATAGGTTTCCAGACCGTAGGTGTTACGAACTTCCTGGGTAATTTGAGCACCAAGTAAGATTCGTTCATAATAAATTATTAAAGTTAATTAACACGCTCGGATTAATTTAAATAATTTATAATGAATCCTGTATGTTAATCAAAACAAAACACATAGTTCAGTGAAGAATCTCATTTGGCGAATTCATTTTCTTCGCTATATAATGACAAATATACATGGGTTATTTTATATGTATGTGTACATTTGGTTTGTCAAATAAAAATACAATTGGTTATGGTTATTTTAACTAAACTAGTGAAAATTAGTAAGTTTTAGGTAGACTTGTGTTATACAAAGACGGTCAAGAAAATTAGGTGTTAAAGAAACTAGTGTAGTAACAAAGGTAATAAGCTATCGAAAACAGTTGTGAAGAAGGAGTTACGTTATAACATGAATAGTTTGGTGATTGATTTGTACTCAGGATACACACAGGAACAAAGTAGAGAATATGAAACTACGCATGAGTACTAAATGAAAACAAGAATGATAAGCAATTAAATAAACATGCAAACAAACAAAATTAAATCATCAGAGATCAACAAAGTTTTTACCATGATAGAAGAATTGCTTGAGTAATTCGCTTTTGTATGCAAAGATCCGGATTTACTATGTGAGTGGCCAGAGCTTCAGTAATACAAAGAAGACAAAAGCATATTGCCTTTGATACGTTGTTCTTGATTGTCTCTGTAGATCACTTTGAAGGAGACGTTTGTTGAGATGGAATGATCAATGTCCGATTTTCACACTACCGCTTTTTCGCAACCATGCTGGATAGTGTTCCTGAATCCTCTTGGATAGGATACGTGTCGAATGGCCGATATACCTTGCTCCACAGCAGCAGGTAAACTGAAATATGCACATAAAATTGGTCAGATATGGGATCATGTCTTCAAGGCTTCTGCAGACCAATGGGGACTGGACAACACTATTCTCAGCAAAGAATGTTCTCAGAGATTTTGTGATCCTTCTCTTGAGAATATCGCTTGCTAAATCTCCCTTGGAATCCAAATTCATGTAGAGTTTCTTTTTCGGCGCAACTGAAGACATATTCCTCCGAATTCTTGGTTTGATATTTTTGTTTGGTATTCTGGTGGATATCCATTTTAGATGAAGATTTCTCCCGAAAGATCTAATTCTGTTTCCAGAATGTCGGGACTACAGATGCGTTGGATACTGGTGGCAACGGATGTAATTAAATTCCGCTTTTGTTGAATGGTTACCCAGCTATAGAAGCTTGATTTTTAACCATTTCAAATGGCTTTTCTACGGATCTATCTCCTCAGGGTCCTATCAATTCTTCTTGAGTGTAACAGAAACGTTAAAGTACCAAGTTCAATCAATAATTTTCCGCATTCTATAAATAAAAATGTGACATTCCAATATATACTAAAGAATTCTTACTTTTGAACGATGGAGCTGTTACTCATCTGACATCGATGTCTACCGTTTCATGTGGCATCACTCTACTCATCTGGCAGCTGTGTAGATAAAGGTATTTGTGTCCTTGATATATTGGTGTGCAGAAATTAGTGCTGACATAATCAAAAGCTCAGATAGCTGCCCTAGTTGTCAGAATTAAAGATGTTAGATTAGTTCATTTGATATAGCGCATAGTGATACATTATTATTAACTGGATGACGCTTCCATCACAATTTACTGCTTTTATTCATATGAATGTATTAACAAGGCCTCATAATTTGCTCTGTATGTTTTATTACCCCCTCCTTCTTGTCTATAACAGTCCGTAATATTCGTTTCATAGTTAGCCAAAGGTGAAAGTCAGATTGAGGCCTAAATAGGCATTGGTTAATTTCGTTAAAATGTGATTCTTTTTATAGATAAATCTAAGGATCTTACAGAGAGTGTGACTAGTCACCTCTTTCGATAATTTAATTCAACTATATTATCGATATTAAATTTGACAGACTTAGGGATTTCTGTAAATTATGAAGTAATCAAACTACGTGTAGTTAAAACACGTTTATCACTCTGGCTGTCTACACTCGAGTATGTCGTGTGCAAGAAGAATAGTTCAGTAATAAATACTTGACAGCTGATATCATTCCACTTCCACATAATCTTAAAAATGATTATAAAAGTATTGCCTGTTGGTTTGAATACTTCAGTTCACCTTCGATATCCATATTCATTTTGATATCTCGATTATCAAAACATTTCTACTTTCATACAGAAATTAGAGTTGGAGCCTCATGAAATATCACAACTGATTATGTTAATGAAGTTGATGTTCAAAGATTTACACCAATGTAGGGAAGTTTATTTGCCAATCATCAAAACGTAAGAACAATACATTTTTTTAAATTTATTGTGATTTGATTTTATTCTAAAGGAGATATAATATTGAACTTGTTTTTAATAGACTAATATCACATCATTCTTTGAACACAGATGTATGACAAAGCTAGTCAGATTTTTCCGTGACATCAGACGGCAGGATGGATCATTAAAAATAATACTGATAAATGGTTACGTAAACCTGGAGTGCCATTTAAAACAATGTGTAATGTGCCAAAACTTTTCCTGCCAAGTCTCAGCAGTAATAAAGTTGATTTAGTTAGGAATCAATAATTACTTACCAACTATGTTTAGATCCTTTATTCTAATGTGTATGAATAATTAATGTAAGCGTAGGACTCCATTTGAAATGAAACTGTGATTCAATATTAATAACTCGATGACGTTTCGAACACAAATTATTGTGGATCATTATATCAAAAGTCCTTGTAAGCATAATGAACTGTAACTCAGACTTGGCTGAAAATAGCTATCTGTTGATCTCCACCCATCTGGTGCCATATATATATACGATAGATTATTATGATCAGTTAGCCTTTTTGAAATCGTCAGTAAGTTATGCATATAGTTAGTTTTTGAAATAACTCGTTTAGTGGAGTCTAGAAATAAATAAGGATAAGTAACGATAAACACAACACGGTTGTTTAAATAAACTCAGAAACTTTGATTTATGTTTTGTTTCTAAATTATTAATTTTAAAATGAGGAGATTCTAGTCATTTACACTATCAGAACCTGATATTTTTCAAGTCCCACATTTTAAAAGAAAAACATTTTTAATAAGTTCTTGTTCACAGGATTTATTTTACCTGGTTAAAAATGCCAATTAAATTTTCAAAAGAATGGATACTGAACAAAGAGTACTTTCTTCGATAAATTCATCTTCAGGCTCTACAGTTATATATATACATTATAGTGACTGAATGAGTTAAGGTTATGAACGAGATTAATGTTGTTTAAATAACATCAAATCAATAATATTGATAGATTAAGGCTAAATCGCATCAACATAGAATAAGCTGAATGTCAGAAACATTAAGAAAGACAATATTACAAAATGATGAGTTTATAGTTTCTACTGAAGGCTAGCCAGGGCAATAGTAGGCGCTGGACTTGTTTCTTTTGGACACAGAGTGCTGGTTATTTGAGGCGAATCACAATAGCCTCTGGTGTTTGGAGCATTCAGTGCTTTGATGATTTTGGCAATTTGTTAGGCACCCGGTAGATTATAGAGAAGGATTCATCTACGCTGGCTTTGTGTCCTGTTCGCACCAGATGTTCCAATATCGAGCTGTTAACCGTTTTCACTACACTTAGTCATGCTGGGAGATGTTCTCGAGCACGAAAATTCAAGTTCCTAGAGCAAATGCCAATATAACTGGCTTCACAAGCGTAGTTGAATTGATAGGTACATTCTGAAGTGGCTGGCTAGTCTAGGTACTTCATCTTTCAGTCAAGGAATCACTATCGGTCGTGTAGAGAATAATACGTGTAGTTCGCCAGCATTAAAATTTCTTTGAACTGATTTTCTTAATTTCATCGTAATTATCTCGGTTGTTATATCATCCATGAATTGTAGTCGAATATAAAGAGGCTTTTTTTACAAATAGTGAGTAGTCCTTTTCCGCCGCTTTCTTTGTCATGTGTTTCTTGATAAATTTGTCGGGATAGCCATTTTCGATCAAAGTATCATATACAATGCTTAATTCCTCTTCAATTACTTCTTCTGAGCATATAGCTCTAACTCTGTCTGTGACTGAGGGTCGTTATTAAATTTCTTTTGTACTTGATAGGAACAAAGCTGTGTAAATGTGTATATTGTTCTGTCCAAGTGGTTTTTCTTTGCAAATTTCTTTTTATGCTACCATATGGTTTTCTTGTTAGTAGGACATCCAGGAAGGCGATTCTCTAGAGCCTAATGATGAATTTATCGAAAAATGTACTCTTTGTTCAGTATCCACTCTTTTGAGAATCTATTATAGGCAATAGTCTATTTCTTAACAAATAACAGGTTATGTTTATCTGTGTCATTTACAAGATAATTGTTGGACAGACTAATATACCATCTATGAACAGCTTTATAGAACTTTACAGTGTTCAGTCCGTAGCTCCGTTTTGTTTTATTTAGTTGATAGTGGTTATGTTGTGGAGAAAACGAAGACTTTCAAGGTAATTCATTGCATTCAAAAGAAGTTCGAATATCCATTATCACTTCCTGGGTCTATTAAGAAATAACCAAGTGATTACTTCTCCACCACCCCTTACTTATAGTTTCAACCCACGTCTTATTATCACTCAGTCTTGCCACATCTTCAATAAAAAGTATTTTATTTACTTACCTTACATTCTGGCGCTACGTAATCGGTCCTTTGTTTTTCTTTATCGACTTTATCGACTGCTCCTACCTGAACTTTGTTTGTCTAATCGCGCTGCTTTTCATCATTATTCTTGTAGTCTTGAATCACCTGACTCTTCCATCCTTGTTATTGATAGAATCATTATTATTATTATTATGACTAATTGTACAATTTATATGCACAATCTTATTATCCTGTTGACAAAACACCGTGATAGGCTTACAGTTGAATATTTTTTAAGTAAGTTTTGTTTGATTGGTTGGAGGATTTCATCATGAACTGACTTCATTTAGAGAAGTATAGGAAAACTTGGGAGTACTGGACAGCTGTTTCATCCCAGTTTGGGACCCTTAGTTTGTCACTTCTTGTATTCTACCCATCCCCGTTTACTGCTTCCCATCAACCTTTCCTAGACTACTTAAGAAAGACTTTGCTTTGCTGAGAAGGGCACTAAATGCCGTTAGTAGGGCAAGTGGGATATCGTTAAACCAACTGGTTAACACTATTGTGGATAGACATATTATGTCATGTAAGAAACTAGCGAATACAGTATTGTCGGACCCCGAGAATCCTCTCTATACGCAGCTGTCTCCTTGCATTTCATCTGGTAGGACTAGAAGCAGCTATAGGAGGCTGTATGCTAGGACCACCAAGTACAAAAACTCCACAATACCATATTTGGCACAGCTGTTATGTGATGAGAAATCTGTTAGGTATGACACGATCAACTTACTGCGGCACTCTTACAAATAGTCCCATTAGTTTTTAATTTCCTTTCTTCGTAACTATTACACTGTAATTCACATCTTCTATTACACACTAATTTTACATTTCATATCCTGTGGTGAATTGTTTAAAATGTAAACGCAACGCTGTTCTTTTCTTTATTTGATTTTTTGATTTTAAAAATCTTATAAAATATATGAGGTAATTAGATGCAATATATTGTAATGCACGCTGAAAATTTCATACCTGTACCACAAATACTGTTTGAAATAGAGCTGTTATTATTATTATTATTATTAGCGACTGGCACCCCATCCAATGGCCCATGAATTGGCAGAAGTTAGAATCTGAATATTTATTTGTCGTACAGTTATGTGTGTATTAGAGTTAAGCTTGATGAAATGAGTGTTGTTCGCTTAAATGTCTTGATCGTTTTATTCCTCTTTGTAGACATCTCGATCTCAATGCCTTCACATATATGTATAAATTCTATGCGCATTCAGTGAGTTCAGTAGTATAAACAGATTTTTATTTTATTTTAAGTTCAATTATGTTCGGTAATTTGTTGATAATGAATCATCGAAAAAATATTTATTAAATTATTTATGCATAATTGTTCAGTGTATTCGTCATAATTAGTCAGCTGTCCAATGGCTAATACTCTGTAAATTATAATACTTGGGACTAGACTGCATCCATAGTCAAATATAATTTACTTCAGTAATATATGCGTACAATTTGGATACTGTGATAATATGTAATTCTGCATGATTTTCTTATTGGATATATATTATGTTCAAAACGTTATCTAGTAAATACACCAATATGAGATTTACTCCTATGGTTTGAGGAACCTGGATGAAGTACGAGTTGCTTTATTATCTAGGATAAGCTAATATAAACACTTATTGTAAATAAAAACCGAATGATAAGAAGACGTAATTCAACAGAAACGTAATTTATTTCCGACATTCTGATTACACACGAACTTGTCGTATACATATACACAGAAAGCAAAAGGGCATCAAGGACTGCAATGTAGGTGAATTTGTTTACAAGTCAAGAGGTATGGAGACGACGTTAGAATAGGAGGTGGGAAATAAACGTGTGGGGTTGAACGTATTATTAAGTTTAGGCACAGTACTGAAACTGGATTACCAAAGCAGGTTCAGAGTAATAAGAAATAATTTTTGAACACAATTAGATTTTAGCCTTTTAATGGACAGGGCTTCATCGTGTCCCAGGTTCATGTGTCCCAAACATGTTTCATATACGAGTATAAATGTACTTCTGAAATCAACTTTGGGTATCCATTCTGGGGATTAATGGCATCCGAATATTTTATTTGCTCTCGCAGCTACTTTGGAATTTTTTCTGTAGCCCTGAAGAAACCAATAGGTCCTCCCTGTCTATCTCTGACCTCGATATACATGTGTATCGTGATATCCCACTGTGTTTACTAATTTACATGTGTGTATTCACACTTACAAAGAGAGGACACATCGATGTCTGCAGGTTACTGTTACAGAAGACATTCTAATTTGGCTACAAGTAGATTACATGTGCAGTTTCACATTAGGACCGGTTTTATTCAACCGCAGAACACTACTATAGCGTCTTGCATGATGCAGTGTTAGTTGTCTCCAGACATCATCTACCCGAGATTTTAATATTCTGAGATTATGCATACTTAATTCAAAGATCATAATTCTTAAAAGAAAATACTCAAAATGTGCTATTTAAATTCTCAAAAATGTTTTTTAGTTACATCAAGATTACATAAGGACAGATGTTCTACAGTATCTTACACAGCCAGTCACCAGTCAAGAATCCGCAACAAAATGCACTTTATCCAATCGGAAGCAGTCTTCAGGAAAGACAACGGATTTGAAAATGTTGTTTGTTCTTTATTTATTACTTAAAAAATTCGAAAATATGTTGGATATTACAACGGAAGTGAAGTAAGAATGACAAGTTATTATAATCTTATCCTTTTTCGTGACTTTTATGACACTCACATATCAATGACATAGGTGGTTGGACTTTTCTCTATGTTTTTTGGGTTCTTAGTGAAAAAAGGGCTTTAAATTTTCAAATTTTAGTACTGATGATGTTTTTCTCACGGGATGGGATTGCCACTCTCATGCCCAGCCTCGTCTCTTTCCCCAAGTTACTACTGGCTGGCAGCTAGGCAGGATTTAATAATGCATGCACTGAAAATCGTACCCAAACCATGTTCGTTGCCGGAGAGCTTCCTATCATGGAGGTACCAGTGATGATGTCAAACACAATTTATGAGATCTTCCAATGGTATCAATACATAAATACAAGACACTAGACAGTGGAATCGTTGGCAGTAAGAAAATAGTTCACTACACGGCATTTGACGCTTGTGACTTTATATATACATTTAGCTAACAAAGACCTAGCGTCTCCGCAAGCACATACTCTAACTGGTATGGGGTATCAAAACTTTTGGACTATTGTTCCATTATTATTATTCCCTTGGGTACCCAGGGGAACAGCACGTCTCCATTTTGTCATATTTTCTGTAATCCTCTTAGGCTGAACCAGCAACTGCTAATAAGCTCTCATCTCTTTCTCGCTTAATCTCATTCATGAACTCCTTGGGCCAATATAGAAGAACTGACTTCATATTTGTGTTGAAAATACGAATCCTTTTTATACCAACTGAGTTCAGAAGATTTCCAAACTGTTTTCATGTTGATGAAGGCATATCTAGCCTTTCAGATTCTGGTCTCTTTTGGCATCACCCGTTCTGACTACCTGTGGTTGAAACACTACTGCCTAACCGGATAAGTAAAGGAGTTAACCTCAGTTAAATCTCTCCCGTTGATGGCGATTGGTGCTGGTGGTTGTTGTTGCTGTTGCTGCTGGTTGATTAGGCGTCTCCATCTCCTTCATGTTCACATAGAAAGAGCCGTGTTATCGCTGCGAGCCAGGCTCTTCAGCCAGTTTGTTGGCTCTTACCTGCAAGCCTTCAAGTTTGTGTGAAATTAGACACAAATCATCCGCAAAAGTGTAGGTTTCCAAGATACTTCTTATCGGTCCAACGTATTCCTGTCTTCTTGCTCCCCACGGTCTTTCGCGTAATTCAGTCCACCCTAATTAAAAGTGCGGTTCATTATAGTTTGCAGCTGTATCTAACCGATGTCTTCACTTTAAAGGCTCTACCGAATTTTCGATTGTGGGCCACCTGACAAATAGAATTGTCATGTAGCTATTGCACTAGATTGATGAAGATTTTGGGTACGCCACAGTTTTCAAAATTACTTCACGGTCAATGACATAAAAGACCTTTTCTAAATCGAAGAGGTTGAGGTAGACGTTTAGCTGCCATTCTATGCTTTGTTCAGTGAGAATGCGTAAAAATGCGATTTGATCAGCACACGATTTGCCTTTCCTTAATCCAGCTTGTTCGCTGTGGGGGCGGAGTTTTGCATCTAGTGCATCTGTCATTCTTTCCAGGATGACGGGACTTAGTATTTTGCTTGGTGTAGACAACAGCATTATTCCGCTTCAGTTCTTGCAGAGGTGTGAGTCACCCTTTTTTGGTGGCATCACAAGGTATTTGTTGTTCCAATCAGTAGGTACCTTCCTTTCCTCCCAAACCTTTTGCAATAGTGGCGTATCCAGTGATTTTTCTGGATCCATTTCTAGCGCTTCCGAAGGAATTATTTCCGGCCCTCAGTAGCCTGATTGCATTGAAGGATTGGTGTCCATTGGCAGTTATGAGGCTGTTGTCAGTATTTCTGGATGAGCTGCAAGTGATGATCAATTCAAGATTCCTTTGAAGTGATCAGTACACTTTTGTTTGTTTGTCCATAATGTGCTTTAATTATTATGTGAGCTTTTTCAGCGACCTATTACACTGAAAGTTGTTAATGAGTTTCTGAGAACAGTCGTTTAGCTTACTAAATCAAAGACCATATCAGATATGTAATAATACAGAATTGTAAATAAGTCACTTTGAAATTTCCTGAATTTTCAAAACTCCCCCAAATAATACGTTTACTACACTTCCTGATATCCTGAATGCTCTGAGCGTCGCCGACTCAAAGGTGATAACTCAGTTCAACTAGCTTATCTCGATAGTCAGATCAAGATGCTATGAAACTCAAAAGTCAGTGGACATTAAGTATAACACATGAGGCTTCTGTAAACAGCTTGTCAGAGAGAATGTGTGTGAAAGGCACACAAATATATCGGAATACAAAAAGCGGTATTATAGTGTGCCTAGTTCCCTTACCAATCTGAGTGCATGCTGAGAAAAACTTGATTCCTTAGATTAAACAATCAGATTTGACCTTACCCTCATAAAGGCATAAAATGAAACACAAAAATATCCAAGTTCCATTAATCTAAAGATTATGATCGCTATGGTAATCACTGAAGACGAGCCCAAATAATGAAGTCTAACTGTGTAGGTCATTATATAGTAAAATGCATGTGATCCATGTCTTTGATTGACTTGAACAGATTATGCAGAAGGAACGTGATTTTTAGTGTGTAATCACCTATCCTCATCACCATAGTAACGATTATATGTACTTTTCCCTACATCAGGCTGAAGCTGCTGATCAATGAATTTTTGTTGTATTTCTTTAGTAAGTTTAAATACATGTTTACACCTTCATTGCTATACTACTTAAATATTTTTGAGCTGGAAATTAACTGAATTTCATCTTATACAATAAGAGAGAAGAAATATTCACCTACAAAAGCTGATATTATGCGCCTGTTTTCTGTAAAACTCTTTTTAACACAAATAAATAACACTGAAATGTATAAATAAATGATTATTTTTAAGTAAAATTGATGAAGTAAGGTGGTTTGAGTAAATATTTAACTGAAGCAAACTATAATGCCTGTAGCTTAATGAAGTGTTTTAAGATGATCTATTTGATTTTTTACATGAGTCTTTATCATTGAATGTAACAACAACCTAGACGACTGTTGAAAATTGTGTACTAAAGGCAATTTTGTTTCAAGTATTGGTTTTTGTAGGGATTTAGTGTGACTGGTTGGAGGATTTCATAATGAGCTGACATGGGAGTACTGGATAGCCGTTTCGTCCTTGTCCGGGACACTTCAGAAGTACGCATCCACCATAGGGTTTCGAACTCACGACGTTCTGGTTACACGACAAGCTCGTAGACCATTAAGACACTGGGACCGGATCTAATAGCCAGTCCATGATATCCAACACTTCTGCCAGTTCATGTCAGCTCATGATGAAATCCCCCCAATTGATGTGGTTTCACTTAATTGCATTAAAAATCGACTATAAAGTAAGAAATCGATTTCCTATACGAATAGGCCTGTTATTTGACTCTAGTAAATTACATCTACAAGGATAACTAAATCAGTATTAGAAGTAATTATTGCCATCTTTCCTCTATAAGGATTTGTCTACAAGATTGGTATGTTGAGTAAGTGGAGACTAGTGAACTGGTGGATGTATAATAAATCTTTTAATATTTAGCCTTGATTGTCAACTTTACTAATATTCAAATCATTAGTGCTTGTGAGTTTGTAGACACAAACTGAGTCTACAGAGTTAATACATTTCAGTAAGCAGTTACTATTCTGCTTTCATTATATTCACTTTGTAAACTAGGTGTAGTTAAATATATTTGGTAGTAGATTTATATATATACATGGGAAAATGCCAATAAAAATTTTAAAAAAATAACTAATAATCTTAACAGAATTTATTCTAACATATTTCTGGTTTTTTATTTCTACATCGCCTCAATAAGGAAACTGCCTGTACTTACTACTTGTAATCAACACATGATTGTGACTTTGCTCAACCATGCCGTATTATTATTACTATGCTTGGGTGAAAAGCGGTATTCTCTGAAGTAAACAACATAAGCAACAGTTGTTTATTTGTCTTGCTTAAATGTTTTGTTGTTTGGTTTTGTCATCTGCTTTACATAGGGAACAAAAGAAATCAAGGAATTTCGATTGGTATTCATGGTTTAAACCGGTGCTTTCATACTGGATTCAGCAGAATAGTTTCCAGCTCTTGGCCAGTATTGATTATGATATTCAGAATGACCAGGTTTGTTGGCTAATTATTTTTATCTGCGTATAGCTTAAAAAATGTTATTTTCTCAGTGTTTTTTTACACAACCAACTGTTTCCATATTGTCATATATAAAGGCGAATTTATAGCAGAATGTCCTGAATTTTACAATTAGTTTTGAAGAGATACTGAATATTTCATCCTGCTATTGAATTTTAAATTTAAAAGCAGTAAACAGTGTAAGCTTAAACTTTTTCCATGACTACTACGTGACAGTAGTTAAACGTTTTCACATGAACAGGATATTTATGAAACATGTGTCAAGTATCCGAAGGACATCGAAACGGTGCACTGATAATAGTGTTGAGAATTCGGATCGTATTCCTTGTGCTGAGTTTTGTAGATCCTCTGACCTATTCAGTTAGACTTTACTGGCTTTGAACTACTCACCCGTGCTGTCTGAAGTTAGTATGTTGCTGCTCACATTTTGACAGGGAAAATTTCTTTCAGAGATTCACAACTAGATTGTAGTTATTGTTTTATGTCACTAGGGGGTATCATCATCACCTCTGTCTTCTCTGTGTTTCTCCAAAAACCCATCTTCTCTGAAATCTCAACGTTCTCCTTCGCTTTGCTTGTATATCTTAGACTTTGCGCGGAAAGTCTCCGGTAAAGTTTTCTTTATGACTTGCTTGGAATGCGACATCATGATATAGTTGCCTAGTCAGAGTTTTGAAAACTTGAGGTACTCCGTAGTGTTGTGGCAGTCACCAAATCAATTCGTGGTCTACTTTTTGAGGACGATAAATTTTAGGTAAACAGATGACCACCATTCTAGGGTCTCTTGTATGATAATTCACGATGTTGCCATTTGTTTCACTCCTGCCCTTAATTTACACTCTTTATGCAGTTTGAAAAGACAATTTTTCCACTCTGTAACTAACTAACTTCTTTTCTTTCTACATCTTCCTCAGTATTGGCGTCAGCCCGTCTGCTGAGGTTTATTAATCCGTTTTCAGTGCTGGTTTTCCGGCTCTCAGTAACTTTACCGTTGTAGTGAAGCATAGACTGTCCTACGGCTTCTTCTTCTTGTGTAAACTGTCTATACAGCCTTCAATCCACGATGACTTCAGAAAATTCCAGTATTCCTACAAATAAGTTTCACTGATGTTGCTTAACGTCTCCGACTTATTCCTGAGGGCTGAACTTGAAATGTGGCATAACTTCAGTTTTCTGAGGGCTTACAACCACATTCTAACGGTTCCTTCAATAGCTATTTGAGACTACATGAATAAAATTTATTTACTTAGTAGGTTATTAATTGATTTTAAGCTTGAAATGTAGTTTTACTATTAGTGCAATTTTCACAGCATTTATTTCAGATACAGTCATTTGTGGATTGTGGCTAAGTTTAGTCGAAAAGGTGCTTGTTTACTTCATCTGACCTTCTTTGTGTCAGGAAGTTTCGGTACAATTAACTAGTACATTTGAACAGATGCAAGTGCTTTCCATTATCTAAAGGTTCTAAAACTTAAACATCAGGGACCAACCACTTGAACTCATTAGTTAAATGACAGCAGTAATTACTGGATAAATACTTCGTTTTTTCCGACTTAGTGACATGAATTATACGGATTATATAGTCAATGCAGCATTTTCTACGTATAGATAAACAATTCAGTCGTACTAACCTGATTCCCAAATAAATTTGTTCCTCATGTTCCTTTCTCTTGAAGTATGATGAAAGATATACTTTCGTCATGAACACGTTTTGGAAATGCTTGAAAGAAGAATATAGGGAATATATATATATATTTAATCCGAACTAGAGAATGAATACTTTTCGTGAACAAAACAAGAATACTTCTTACACTTTTAAAGTGGCCGACGAATTAAAGCAATTAACTATGCATAAGTTAGCCTAACTAAGATTCTGCTTACTAGAGTAAATTCATTGGAGTAGGATTAAAATCCAACCGTATAAAACACTCATTTCCCTATGATAATGTAATATTAATTGAACAAACATATCATATGCTTTTGATTTATCTATTCTCTGTTAAAAATGATAATAAATCATCAAAGAAAATAGAAATGACTTCATTAATTGTAAATAATAATAATAATAGACCGTATTGAATAGGTTTTTAGCCCTTTTATATAAAATACGAAAAGTTAAATGACGCCTTAGCAGTGGTAGTATTAGTAGTAGTAATTATATGGGCTACATTTAACTGGAAGGTATAATTAGCTTTTTTTGTTTTTACTTTCTATTTGTCAAATTTTACAATATTGATGAATGGAAAATCAACTAAAAATACTGGTCAAGTATTGATACAATCTAAGAAATCCTAGTTGTTGAACTTTATGTAGTATTAGTTGTAGTAGTAATAGTAGTAAAATTCATACAAACGTTTTCTACACACAAATACAGTATAGAGCTGATGGCATAAAGTTCATGATGAGCAGAACGGATATTAACTTTACAGTTCCGTTTATTTATGTAGGTTGCTTATTTTTGTTTATGTAAAAAGAACTACAGATGATCGTATATGTATATATATATACACACTTCAATTTGTTGGCAAGTTAGTGAATATTTGTTTATTATTTGGTCATCATTAGCATTTCACGTAAGTGTAGAGATAAACTATTTATGTTTATTATTTATTGAGTTCCGAGTGGGACATACTGCTTCAACAACACATCTCCACTTTGGTTACAGGATTTAATCATGGGCTGACATTGGTTGAAGAACCCTGTAGAAAACCGGTAGTCAGTACTGGACGGTAGTTTCATCCTAGTTTGGACTCTTCAGTAGTATCTACTCATCAAGGTTCGAGCCCATGACCTTATGATTACAAGGCGAGCAAGTAAGCCATTCAGACATTAGGATCCGACTCATGGCCTATGAATTTAAACTTCTGTCATTTCATAACATAGCGTGACCACTAGTCAGTGTCTTCGGTGAGTATTTGTCCCCATACTCGACCTGCTGTACATCTCTTTGTATACTTGAGTCATATTTTGCCGTAAACTGACTGATCAGGAAAGGAATTCATTTAAAAGAATAATTTTTATATTCCATATAAAAAATTTCGAAGTCTATTACACATAAAATCTGTGTCTGAAGTCCAACTGAATATCTTATATCAAATGATATTGTCTTCAGTATACTGAAGCACTTTCGCTGAATCCGATAATTAAGAATTTAGATCATGCGTTTCTGTGGGCTTTTGGATTATTTTGAATGCAGATTTCATTACAAGCCAGCATTAATTAGAGGCTATTAGAGATCATGGAGCCCTAAACACCTATTTCGTTCTAGTTTGGGTCTCTTCACAAGTATAGACCCACGATTGCACCATGAATTGAGCCCCGGAACTTCAGGTTACAACTCCAAGCTCATTCCGTCAGAATACATTGACCAGTGAATTCTAATTTGTCTTAATTTGTGATATAGTCAATGCCGATGCCTTCGATGCTGGTTAGTGACAAAATCGACATTCAGCTTAAGAATATGACAAATGAACAGCTAAAAACTAGTACACGTTTTTAAGATAGTTATCATCGTAGTTAAAAAATATTATTTAATTGGACATACGAATAAAAGGTGAATTTTGAATAAAGATAATAATTTTATAGCGTTATATGAAAATTTTAAATAGAGATAAAAGTGAATGTTTAAAGACAAAGAGCACAGAAACCGAAAATTGTACCAGTCCACTGTGTAAATACCAAGTTTAATCAGAATATACATGGAAACGAAAAGTAATTATATTTCATAGGGAAAAGCGAATAAAAGAAAGGAAATATTTGAATGACAAAACTGAAATGTAAAACCAGATCAGCAAAACTAACTGGATGATAGATAAAGAGATTAAACAAGTTTCTAACCTATACTTCTTTATGAGCTTAAAGGATGCAGTGCAGATGAGTCTTTCGCACATTGTTTGAATAGATTTCTTTCCGATTCGTAAATGACTACGAATAATGAATCGTTTGAAATTTAGCGAAATATACTCAGATGGACCGGCAAGCTCATATCGAGGTGATCAGTTGCAAGAGCTCCCTTAATGTAACTTAATAGCAGCAAACACTCCCGGGGTGGTTGAAAAGGGAGTCTACTTTGCATAAGTTGAGGTCATCCACTTTAGGATGTTTATTGCCAAGTCATCTCCGAAGTAAAGATTCGTGTAGCACATCTTCTTGAAAGGTTAAACAGCATAATTTTGTATTATGAGCAACTTTCCTTATTCACTTTCGTTCCCATCGGGACATATAGCTTAGAAGTTTCAGTAGCTTTAGTATTTTTACGAGATATGGTTGCTAGCCTCATACACAACCTTTCATCTTTACCGGGCTTACGCGAAGTAAAGGTGTGCATCGACCGCAGATCAAACCTCGGGCCACTTGTGTGGTCGGCCAGTATTCTACTACTAGACCAATGACACAGATTGGGAGCAACTAGAAGCATCTAATTCGGAATAGAAACAATGGAAATCAATAGTTTAGGTATTATTGTTTCCTCTGAAATGAACAATTGGGCTGCAAGGCTTTAGTATCTGTCTTGAAAACGTCATCTCTTGATGACCTTTAAAGTTACTGGTTCTCCTTAGAGCTCTCCTCGTCCTGATATCAATAGTGATTATTATATTGAACTAATATTTAACCTTAATCCCGTGTAGGAGGTTCATAAATCAGTCTCATGTCAATACGTAACCAGGATTTTATGAATTATATGAGAGAACGCATACTATGTCTGTTGAATGCTACTTTACGTTTATGGATGCCAAGACAAGACCGATATTCACTCTGTGCAGTTTAATGTTACTTGCAGCTGATGGTGTACTTCTTATGGTTGAAAGTTAGCTCTGTCCCTTTAGTTGCTGTGTCATTTGAGAGACACAACATGAACTGAAGCTTCTGTACTTATTTGTTGGATTTTAGTTTTATAGCACTGATTTAGGAAATTTACTGTAGAAAAATCTAATCCGTAGTTTCAGAAGGCGGTTTTGTGTTTGTGTGTTTATTAA